ATTATATATTTAAAGATTATATTGTTAACTTGGGAATAAAATATAATCTAATCTCAAAATATACAAGGTATAAGCAAGCAACAAATAATAATGTTATTTTTTTTTTCTTACAAATTAATATATAAAATAATAATATTATTATAATTATTAGTTTTATTGCAATTGATGAACAATCAAAAGAATCAATTTTCCAGAGGCCACCAGAAGTTAGACATGTTCCAAATAAAGCATCATCACAAATGTCTGGATGGAATTATGGTCTTAGAACTAGTACTAATCCTTATGCTAGCATCCCAACATCAGCATTTAACATATTGCATTACGTGCATTACGAAAAACCTTTTGGTATTTATATATTTGCTTACACATCAGAAATGATATTTATCTATATTGACATTAACATAAAATTTATTATATTAAAAAAAAATTGTTGTATAGTATCACATCAGGCACATCAAATGCAACAGTATCAGCAACAGCAACAGTATCAGCATCAAATGCAACAGTATCAGTTACTTCAACAGCAACAGTTTTATTCTCCTGGTATTTATTTATTTACTTACATATTAAAAGCTATTTTAAAATATATTTAACATAATTTATTATATTAAAAAAAAAATGTTGTATAGTATCACATCAGGCACCTCAACAGCAACAATATTGTTTTCCCGGTATTTATTTATCTAATTACATATTAAAGGTTATTTTAAAATATATTTAACATAATTTATTATTAAAAAATGTTGTGTAGCATCACTTCAGGCACCTCAACAGCAACTATATTGTTCTCCCGGTATTTATTTATCTAATTACATATTAAAGGCTATTTTAAAATATATTTAACATAATTTATTATTAAAGAATGTTGTATAGTATCACTTCAGGCACCTCAACAGCAACAATATTTTTCTCCTGGTATTTGTTTATTTACTTACACATTAAAATGATTCCAAAATATATTGAAATTAACATTTAATTTATTATATAAAAAAACGTTGTGTAGTAGTAAAGAATAAAAATAAGATCAAGACCAGTGGCGTGTTATCGCGGGGGATTGGTATTTATTTACTTACATATTAAAAATGATTTTAAAATATATTGAAATTAACATTTAATTTATTATATAAAAAAATGTTGTGTAGTAGCAAGGAATAAAAATGATAAGACCAAGCCTAGTGGCATTTTACCGCGGGGGATTGGTATTTATTTACTTATATATTAAAAATGATATTTATCCATAACATATATTTGAAAACATTTGTTATGTAGCTTTACGGTTTCCACTTCCTTCTTCTAACGATATTAATAATGATCAAAATCAAAATCAAAAAGAAAGAGAGGATGTGACGAAAAAGGTGACGACCAAGAAAGAAATAAAAGAACATGAAAAACCCAATATTGAAACACTATTAACATTTTTGTCACTTCAATCATTTGATGGCAAATTTCAACCTAAAAATGAATTTTTTGAATTTTTTGGAAAGAATTCATTGGATGAATTCAACTTTGAAAATAATTTTGAAAATAAAGATGATATGCAGCAAAAAGTGAAATTATGTACAATTATTGCATTGATTTATTTGGAAGTGGTGATGATGAAGGATTTTAAAGATGAATGTGATATTTGTTACAAAAAATCTAAAAAAGCGTTAACAACTAAATTTAAAGATTATAATGAAGAGAATGTCAAGAATGTTATGGACAGTGTTAGGAAATGGATGAATGATTGGATCAAAGAATAAAATATATACAATGTGTAATTAAAATAATGGCAGTGACAAAAAGTTCCATAAATCAGCAATCACAAAAGATAATTAATTAAAAAGTTCATAATATACTTTATTAAATAAAAAAAATTCAGTATCACCATTATTTTCTAAAATTAGTTCACACCTATTTTTCGTAGAATTAATGAAATTTTGATTGTCACTTGAGGGATTTTTCAATATTTTGTGGCATATGCTTTTCAACATTATTTTTTACGATACTCCACACATTTTCAATAGGATTTAAGTCGGGACTATTGGATGACCAACTCCATGACCTGAATTTCATTTTGAATAAAGAATTCCTTTGGAACACGTGAAGTGCACTTAGGATCATTGTCATGTTACAAATGACAGCCTCTACCACATAAGTTCTTTGAAACAGGTAGAAGCTATGTTTGCAAAGTATTCACGCAATAAGGGCCCCATCCATGATGTTGGTAAAACAAAATAAAAGAGTTTTGCATTTTAATGAGATTCCACCCCATGCCATTACCTTTTGACATACTTTTGGCAAATCTCGGATTAGTCTATTTCCATCTTTGTGCCATCTACTAACTTTGTTTCTAAAAGATTGAAAGCTGTTTCATCTGTGAATATTGTTTTGTCCCAATTGGTGTTGATATGGGCTTGTGCTCATGCTTTTCGTGCTTCGATGTGTTGACTTGCCAGCATGGGAGTTCCAATAGGTATATCCCTTTTTTTTTTCATATGTCTCCAAATAGAAGTAATTGATATATTATACTTTTTCCTGGAAAGTTGACAGGTTGTTAGGCAGAGTTATAACAAACATGTTGACCCAAAGAATGTGCAAGGGTTCAATGTTACCTGTTTTTCTAAGCTTTTGAAGGCTATGTTCAATAGTAAGAAGGGAAATGTTCGTCCTTTGATGTATTTCTTTGGCCGAACGAATTTCATGTTTTCAAAAAAAACATATTCTTTGGTTGAATTTTGTTGTCAACATTTACATGTGTTGGAGTATATGATAAAGATGCTAAAAAATCCGCGCATATTAATTTATCAAAAAATTATATTAATATACATTTATTATATATGGAAATAAACATTTTACATTAAAATTTTCAATCCATCACGATTAAACTCCAAGATGTTCAAGTTTTCCAAGCAGTCGAAGTCAAGAAAAGATGATTCACGATCACATGGATCGTAAGATAAACAAACCATTGAATTAAATAAAACTAATATTCGTTAAAATTTTGGGGGAGCGCTCTGCAGTTGCAGCTTAATTTTTATATACAACGCGATTAAATTCGTGAAGAATCGAAACAAACAAGCCAGCAAATAATTGAAATCAGCATATTTGGTTACACCGATTTTATTGCGTTTTTTTTAAATTAAAATCTATAACAAAAAAAAAAAATTTTTTTTTAAGCTAATATGTATGAATTGATTCTTTTTTGACGCATTAGAATTGAATGGAAAATGATTATATTAAATGAAAAAAATTATTATAAATACATGGAAGAAAAAAAAATTTAAAAAAAATTTTAGAAATTTAAACAAGTTTTACACTTTTGGCTTTGTTGGAATTTTTAGATTTGTTGGCTTTTTTGCAGGAGAATTAATAACGGTAACATTCATATTTGTGCACCCTATTGTATTGTCATCAGGATCAGCAACTAAATAATAATTGTTAATTATATTAGTAAATGAAAATCAAGTTAACAAATGAACAAATGATAAAATGAGAATATACCAAGAATAAGTTGTTGAAATTCAGCATCAATTACATTAGCAGGTGGGCGGGAAATGAAAGTGGTTTGTATATAATTGAAATTGTAAGGGTAATAGGGACTATCAATGAAAGGTGAAGTTGTAGTAGCAGTAGTAACATTATAATCTTCATTATTGTCATTATCAAGTAAACATATTACGGTGAAGGTTGAACAGAAATCTACGATGCTATAATCAATATCAGTACCATTATAAAAAGTAGTAACTTTAATTTTACTACCGTCTTTTATGAAGGTGTTATTACTGTAACCCTCGATTTTTAGGGTGGAAGTGTCTCCCAAAACAACTTGGTTGGAGGTATGATCTAATTGGTTGTTGAAGGTACTATTTAATGTAACTGTGTATGTGTTGAAGAAAACCGTTAAATTATAATTAATATAATCATCACATGATTGTGAGTTAATGACAATTGGGAAAATGAAAAAGAAAAAGAAAAAGTTGAATAATTTGTTCATTTTTGCTTTTTATTTTTATTTTTTTTGAAAATTGTTTACTCACTCTCAGTAGTAGATGGAAATTGGTTCTTTATATAATCGAATGAAGAGTGCGCTGGCTATTAATAGAAATTATCACGTCCGTGTAACAACCTACACAATATTGGTGTGGCGCTAAATCATGACATTTCCATTGGTCTTGTAAAAATGAAACCATAGAATTCATTCAATAATATCTTTATATGATTTGATTTAATTAATATAGCACCTTACCACGAAATTAAAGCACAAGTTTACTACAATAATTTTTTCAATATTATGATGTAAATTTAATTTTTAAACATATACACACATTTTGAGATCACCCGGGAGGAAATAAACTTGATAATTGAAGAAATGTTGTTTGATATTATAATTTGGTTTTATATCTTAAATTATTTTTATAAAAACACGTATCCCTTAATGTTGAATTAAAGGCCAAATATTACCCAAAAATATACCTGAAAGTAGTATGATTATGTAAACAATCTCTACAATATAAAATACATTTATAATTCCTTTTTCGTCAAATTATAAATCAACCTTATCAATCAATAAAGGGACTTTTGAGATGCAAGCATCTGAATTAATAACCATTGTCATTCAATTCCTATCTCTTCTAAAAGGAATTGGACTGCATATATGATAAAAAGTGGAATAGATCGACCAATAAATTGAAAAATAAAGTTGCAGATGTAGAATGAATTGAATATGCATAATAAATTAATTAATATATCAGCCAAAAAAGTTTATTTGTTTCCACTTTCGAAAGTCAAAGGAAAAAACTTACATTTGGAATACTCGCTTATTTATTTCCACTTTCGAAAGCCTAAAGAAGAAGCTTACATTTGAAATACTCGCTTATTTGAATTGCTGAATATTGATTCATTATAAAAAAATTACTTATAAATGGTAATTTTTTCAAAGAGAAAGAATGTTGTGCTTGCATCACATAATGATGTTTCACAACTAAAACCGGAAATCTCATTATGATTGCTAAAAAAAATTGCCAAATTTGTTTAATGTAATAGATAATAAAATTAAAGTTGTCAACAAACGCCTTTTGCTCTAAACAACCAACCTAGCACTAGAATCTGGTGATGTTCATCGGAGGAAATGGAACGAAAAAAAAACCTTCATTCAGTTTGTTGCATTATTATTTATTTTACAATGCAATAAATTCATTCTATACGCTGAATCTGTTTGATCTATACGCGGTACAATGAAAAAAAAAAGCGAGCTATTGTTCTACGCATCTAATTTAGTGTTTATTATGGGAGCAAATGATATCACATTGTTAAAAATGTTACTTTATCGATTTTTTTATAAATTAAGTGCAAAATCGTCTTTTACAAATACTTTATAACTTTTGAAAAAATAATCAATCCATAGATTATTTAAGGCGTTTTTTTACAATGAATTTAAAAATTCTTCGATTCAAATTTTATCAAAAACTTTTTATTTTATATTTATTTTGTCTTTTATTTTGTCTTATCTCTACATCAAATGCACAAGATAGTGAACCACAAAATAAAAGTCCGACTGAACAAAAACAAAACAGTCTTATTCCTAACAGTATAATACAGTTTCCGATCAACGATCCAACTCAATCAAAAAGTGGTTTTACTTGTCCTGTTTCTGGAACTTATAACGACGTTAAAATATATCCCACCTTTTTCTCTCAATTAGGAACATTCTTTCCTATTATAGGCCTTCTTTTAACTGTAGCTGTTTATGGTACAACATCCGTGTTTGGATATATAACAACATGTCTACTTGATGATATCGTTATTTTAGGGACATCCTTAGTACTCATCATCTCGTGGTATAACATTACTAAACCATTTTGGTTGAATTTATTAGCGAGGTTATTGCAAGATGCTTCGAACAAGAGTGGAGCTGTATCAACTTTTTTCTATGCAAAAAATGCTATTGTGATTGCTGGGTCTGAACCTGGACAAATTGGAAATAGTTACAATCGTGAAATCATAGCACTTGGCTGTGTTTTTTTTGTAACTGCTACAATAGTTCTGGTTGGATTGGGGTATATGAGATATGATTTTCACAAAAAACGGGAAATTCTCAGCCATCCAAATAATAAAAACTACAGGCGTTTCTACAAGAGATTAAAAGCCGTCATTATTTGGATTTACTTTATCCATTCATTTGAAGTCATAATTTATACTGCTTTGCAATTCGAGTTTGTCTTTAAAGTACTCTTACACATACAAGGAGGAGGAAAAATTGGTTATACTGAAGTTCGAAGAGGATTTAATTTGCTAACCATAAATTATCTCATGAAGCTTGCTTATTTCATCTCAACCACTACTTTAATTACCTCATATTACTTTCCTAATTTAGAAATACATTTAATACAACGGATAAAAGGGTTTTTCACAAAAGCTCCTGTTAAACTTACAGAGAATGAAAAGAGGTATTACCAAGGTTTTATTCGTAAAAAAACTTTCTTCCTTACCGCTGCACTTTCTTTAGGCCAAATATTTTTTGAGTATTACTGGTTTTGTACTCCTCCAGTTATTAGTACAGTCTTCAACACTATTCTTACCACAGTTTTAACTCGTTCGGTTGCATCATTCTTTTCTAATCAGGGAATAGTTAAATACATTTATAAAAATAAAGACAAAGAAGTTGCCGAAAATAATAATCAAGAAGAGGCTGAAGATAAAATAAAGGTTTATGCACAAGTTGGCATTACGGATATTTATAATGTTAAAAGTTTTAATATAAATGAGGATAAGTATGATGGTAGCAGTATTATAAATCCTAAGAAATTGGAAAAATATTTAGTTGATTCTACGGGTAATTATGTTTATGTTTACAAAAAAAACAAAGAAAAAAATACACCAGCAAACGACAGTCCGGTATTAGAAAATGCAGTAGCAACAAGTAGTTCAAAGGTTTATGATGAGGATGAGATTATTGAATTAGATAATTTTACAGGTCCAAGTCCAAAAAATGCAAAAAAAAATAAAGAAGCAAATACCAAGAAATTCAAGTCTAAGCAATATTACTACGTTATGCCTGTTCAAGAATCCATGTACTTTGTTGAACTTGAATTTGATGAAAGTGAAGTCAAGAAAGAAAAGAATTCAGACGAGAATAAATACAAGTATATAAAGAAAGAATACGTCGAAACTAGAAAAAAATACAATTATATAATGAAAAAAGAAAATGAGAAAACAAAGGATAAAGAAACTAAAGAGCACAACGAAATAAAGAAAAAATATGAAGAAATAAAGAGCAATTATGATAAAATAAAGGAGGATGAAAAGGAGAATGAAAAGGTGAATGAAAAGGTGAATGAAAAGGTGAATGAAAAGGAGAATGAAAAGGAGAAGCATGGACACGAGGTGGTGGATGGTGGACTAGAAAAAGGGAGTGATGAAAAGAAGAAGATAGAAATTGAGTACGAGGAAAAAAAGAATGCATGCAAGGAAAAGTGGAATGAATATGTGGAAAAAAATAAAGAATACGAGGAAATAAATGACGAATACGAGAAAATAAATGACGAATCTGAAAAAATAAAAGAAGACGAAAAGACCAAGGAAAAAGAAGAGAGTGGAAATGTGGCAAAGACTGAATATGAAAATATAAAAAAAAAATACGAGGAAAGTCAGAAAGGAATTGGTGGAGAATATGAAAATAAAAAGAAAGAATACAATGAAATAAAGGATAAAAACGAAAATTTAGAAGAAGGGGATGAAAAGGAGATGAAAAGTGACTTCGAGAAAAAAAAGAAAGAATACAAGGAAATAATGGATGAATACAAGAAAATAAAGAAATATGAAATGAAAGGTGCATTTGATAAGTACGATCAGGCAAAGAAAGATTACGATAATGCAATGAAAAAGGATAAATGGGCAGACAAGAATAAGTACAGTGAAAAAAAAGAGGAATACGAGTACGAAAAAATAGAGAATGAATACAAGGAAAAGAAGAGAGCATATGAGGAGGTAATGAGGAAAAAGGATAAAGCAATAAAAAAAATCAGGGATGAAAAGGAGAAGGTAATGAGGGAAAAGAATAAAGCAATAACAAAAATCGGGGATGAAAAGGAGAAAAACGGGGATGAAAAGGATAAAGCTCATGACGAAAATCAAATTGCGGATGATATACAAAAAGATGTGGAAGATTATCTGAATAAAAATAAGAAAACAATTTCTAAAGTAGAGAAAGAATATGAGAAAATATTGGTAAAATACATGGACGAAAAGGAGAAAAAATTAGAGACTGAGACAAGGAAAAAATACCAAAAAGCAAAAGCTAAATACACAAATGATAAGAAAAAAGAAATAACGGATAAATACCAAAATAAAAAAGTGAAGGAAGAATACAAGCAAGCAATTAAAGATACCGAAACTTACTACAAAAATAAATTGGAGGAATGCGAGAAAGAAAAGGAAAAAATTAATGAATACCGTAGTGCGGATTGGGAAAAGTATTACGAACAATTGGAGATAATAAACAAAGAGTGCAATAGAATAGAGAATGAAGGCAAGGAAAACATGGCTATAATCATTTACGAGATAAGAAAGATTGAATATGAGGAAATAAAGAGAGACCATTATTATTTCACTGATGAAAAGGAAGACAGTAATCTACTGAAAAATTATAAAATAGCATACCACACGAAAGAGGCAGAATACAAGGAAGCTAAGGAAAAATACATGAAAGTAAAGTGGGGTGTAGTTCAAAAATACGATGATGTAAGGAGTGAATATGAGAAAGCAAAAGAAGAAAAAAATAAAAAAATGACAAAAGAAAAGAAGGAAAGAATCAGGAAAATCAAGGAAGAAATCAAGAAAGAAATTGAGAAAATCAGAGATGAAATAGGTTGTGATGGAATTGCATTTCACGATTATGCCGGTGGAAGATTCGAAAAACAAAAAGAAATCTCCAGATTCAAACCAGACGACCTTGAAAAAGGACTTCCTCCTCCCCATATTGATTCTATTAGTAAATGTATGAAAATCGAAGGCCACGTATTGATCGACATACTTGAAACAGGTTTCCTAAATTACATTGTTTATTCTCATCGTTCTTCTAAACAGCATGGATTACTAAAATGGATTAAGTTGAAATACAACCCATATTATTACTGGTCTAATTGGAAAAACATTTTAAAAGGGGAAAGCCCTTCAAAAAACCCTTCAAAAAAGGAGGAATCGAAAAAAACCCCAATTGAGGAGGACAATGAACTGAAGAAAGTGCATATTAAAGAGGAATCGGAGGAGCTAGAGCGAAAATGGGAGGAACAGGAATTGTCGAATTTGGTGAAACATGAACTTAATATACTGAGACTAGAAAGACAAAAACTGATGGAGCCGGTACAAGAAAATATAGCACCAAATTACTTACAATCTGAGGGTTGGTTTGAGAAAAAACTCAATGAAATAATAAATTCCTAATTTCTAATTAATTCTTATGTAATAATAGTAGCTTTTTTCAATGTCTATTTATTTTTTTTAATTTTTAAAAGAATTCATATTATTCTGTATTAGTATAATTATATCATGAGGGTACGTCACGGTTATATTGTATTGAAGATTCTTTATTTTAATTTAGAAAAACAAACTAATAAACAAACTACATAATTTAATGGTGATCATCATATAAGCTAATTCGATAAAATTATGTCACATTTATGATTTTATTATTAATTAGATTTTTGAAATATTTAAAATAGAATTCGCACCTTTACTATATGGCTTTTTAACATTTAACCCTGTCTTCCTTCTACGCATTTTATATTTTATTGTATTATTGTATACTTATTTTCTTTCTATATATGATAAGTAACTGAACTGCTCTGTTATTATTATTAATTTCTCTAATCTATTTTATGATCATCTAAAGAGAAAAAGATTTTAATAATAATAAATCTAAACGGGCATTCCTCTGTTAATTCCAGCATGTATGCATTAACCAATCCTTCTGTCCAAGCATGATAGCACAAACTTTATTGCCAGGAAGAAGCAACGTGTTAAGTTGCACTTTACTGTTTCTTAATTTACTAGAAACTCTGGTAATGTCTTTGGACTGATACGAATACCTGTTCTGGAACAATGCTTCTTTCAGAGGCTCTGCACAAGTGAGATGGTCACTACAAAATTTAATGATAAATTGTTGTGGTTTTTGTAAAATCACCTCCCAGGAGTTAAAGAAAACTATCATTAGCATCTGACTTGGGTTTTATTAAACTAGACTTTTACCCTACAAAAAGTTTTGATACTTATTTTATCATTAAAACATTCTTATTTTTACAATAATGGACTTTAAACTAGTGATGTTGGCCAATAGAAAAAAATTAGCTGGCCAAGCCAAACAACTCTAAGCCAACTAAGAAAGACTTGGATAAAATAATTTGCTAGACAAACTACAAACTTTTTATAAATCGGTTGTTTTTATCATTTTTACCAAATCTATTTCTTTCTCTTCGTTAATAAATCCTAGTTGATGTGAGATTTTTCGGATATTACTAAGATTTCCGGTGTTATTATTATTATCATTTGCTGCCATCATTACTATTTAATGGTTCACTCATTGTTAAGGTTATTTATTTTATTCATTATGAATTTGAGTATTCATTCGAATTACATTGAATGTTTATTTGAATTTTAGGAACTTTAACCCTTATTATTATTACTTTCTTATTATCTTTTATCCTACTACAAATATTGTATTATTATTTTTTTTTTTAGAGCAAATGAATGTTTTTTTTGTCATTCTAAGTAATGCATCTCAACTAATTGTCTATGCTACTGAGTTCTGTACTAAAATTCCATACGTAAAATGATTGTTAAAGGAAATTTTTTTTAATAATATCATTACTTAAAACATACTTAAAACATACTTTAATTCGTTACATTCTTAAAACACGCATTTCATAACACATATTAATATATTTTCACTGCTCAAAATTCATATAGTTTAAAATATTCTTAAACATGCCTTTTCTTCCCATTGTTGTTCTTCTTTGCTAGCGTGTTAACATAATTTGTAGTGAACCGATTAATTTTTACAAACTGTGATTATAATCCATGAAAAACAAATAATAAAATACGACTTTCAATAACAAATAAATGATCATATACAAAAATAATTATAGAAAAACTCTACTCGATTTTAATTTTTTTATAAATTAAAAGATTTTGCAGCAATTCAATTTTTTCACTTTCTACCAGAAGATCCTCCTCACATGTAACCAAACTATTTAAACATAAACTAGGTATTTCACAACTCTGCTATTTATCATCCACAACTTTACAATCTGTTTGACTATTAGCAACTACGATGTCAATAAATGGATTACAAACTTCATTGTCCAGTTAATGATCCGTCTCTCATGGGTAAAATAACATATATTCAACTAAACAACAACTACAATCTACATTATGGGACCCCTTTCTGCCCATTATTAATGACACAAGCACTTCTTACAAAATTAAACAACAAAAATATTACAGCTTCCTGTGTCACACGTCAACCTTCATACTCTATTATCTCCTCTTTTAACATCAAAGGCGGCAATGTCCTATTAATAAACATTATATAAAATCAATATTTCAAAATGATGCCTTTGCTCAAAAACAATTACTTTCATGCAATTACCCAACCTTTCTCCCAATAAACATGTTATTTCGTAGATTACCTTAAGTAAATTTTGTTTGTCTCCTACACAATACACTTTTTAATTAATTAATTATTTATTTATTACTAAAAATGCTAAAAAAACATTTTTTACTATTATTATCATATGTCCTGTTTTTTTTTGGATCATTGATTTGTTTACTTTTAAGAAAAGCATTATGCATTTACAATTGAATTTATTATTTGTTTATTACTAAAAATGCTTTGATCACATCTATACATTTATTTTGCAAATCTGGATTGCAAACTTCATAAATCTTGACTTTAACACATACCTGCCCATATAATTATTGAATAATTGATAAAACATTCATTTTGCAAACTTGATTTGCAAGTTTCATAGACCTTGACTTTAACACTTACTTTGATCAAACCCGTCTATATGATTATTTAATAATTGACAAAGCATTCATTAAATATATTTTATGAACAGCTTCATAGATCTCAACTTTAACACTTAATTTGATCACGCCTATACAAACTATTGAATAATTGGCAAACATTCATCAATATATTTTACAAACTTCTTTGGAAGTTTTGTACGTTGCCATACATCTTGTATTTAACAGTTACTTCCACAAACTCGCAACCTATCATCAACTCTATTTTTTCTATTAAATTATTTTGAATTTTTATTTTTTTAGATTACAATAAAAATATGGAATAGAATTTGTCCAATGAAATGTTGTAAACTGTATATATCCCATGCACAACTTGAAATATATAGTTCATTTTTCCATTATTAGTACTTGTCTCGGGTAAGACATGCAATGGCGAACCCATGTGACTCGCTTAAATATGTTATTAAAGTCCAGCAAGTGAGGGAATGGAACTCTTTACTGGTGGCTCATGCTAGGTGCATCTATCAATAGGATTATAATAAAGATTAAGACCCGATTTTGCTTCATGAAAATATTCAAGTTTTTCAAAAAAAAAAAAAAAGAGGGATGGCTGTCCTATTTATATGTTTTGGGTTTAATAAAATAGACTATATCTTGGCCTGAATGATGTCATTTTTTTGCTTTTTGCAACAAAGAAGATGCAATCCAAACTAATGTTGGTTTCCAAAACTCGAGAGTTTCGCAATCGTGCGAAAGTCAAAAGGTTTCGCCATAAGTCGAAACTAGTTTTGATTTTTGACTATTGATTTTTGATTTAGTTTTGACATATAACTTTTAATTTTAGTTTTGACTTTCACCTCTTCAAAATAGTTTTGGCGACCAAC